AGGGGACTCCCTGTCCCCCCTTTCACCCCCCCTCCCCCTGCGTTTCTTCCTCCTGTTCCCCCGCGTGCACATCAAGTGCATATGTTGGTAGTCATCCCCACCAGCGGTGCAGCAAGAAACCTCCAACTGTCTGGAGGGTGACAACGGGTCAAATCCTACATGTACCAGCGTATACACACTGTATCAACTGCAGTGATGTAGCAGTCTCTGTTCAGTTTCTGCTGTTCAAGGCACACTGCGCAGCTAAGACTGCTATGAATGAATGAATGACCGTTACAATGGTGCCCTAAAAGGGAACACGGGTGATGAACCCAACCCTACATTGCAAAAGAAACGGAACAAACCGTAGAGACAGCACCACAACGGGCCAACAAGATGGGAGACATAGCCCTAAAAGAAACCTCAGGAGGGAAACAAGAGGGTAGAAGCCAAAAAAGGCCCCTCAGCAAACCTCGACAAACCTCATCTAGGGCATATGACAACCCAAACTGGAAGCCACGAACACACCACCCCAAAGACAACAGGGCCAAAAACAGGACGCTCAACGGCCCACAGAAAACCGCCCGCCAACAATACGTAAGAAAGGATGAGAAGAGCCAACCCCAGCCCATCCCCGACGGGGAACACCCAATGTAGCGCTTGAGCTGTTTGTATAGCTGAGCGCCTATTAAGATGCAGCTGCTTTGTCGTAATTGCACATGCGCAGTTACACCAAATACTGTCATACTGCGAGAAATGGGACTTTTTCGGCGTTTGTCCATTTTATCAAAGGCGGTAATGCGGCAGGCAACAGTGCCTGAGCTGAAGTGTCAGGCTAATGAACATCAGAGTGATGTATGATTACTTCTGTCCTAGACACACAAGTGTTTTAAACCCTCTATACACGAGCTGCTCGTATAGCTGGCCTTCTAATCAGTTGCAGCTGAACCGCAGTCCTTGCACATGCGCAGTAAATATGTAACACTGCCGAAATGCAAGCTCAGGTAGGCTGCCACGCTACTCTGCTGTAAGACAGACGGATCACATCCGCTGGCGAATTAAGTATGTGGCACGGTAGCTTGGAAACCAAATCAGAGGGCGTTGACGTGGAAACCTGACTGGCATTTGCAAGATGCATGCACACATTCAATGCAACGCCGAAAATACCACGCGAAGCGGTGAACACGCCTGCAAACGTAAAAAAAAGTAAAGGTCAGTGCATTGCAAAAAAGTCCATTAAAGAAGCACAGCAACACTAATCTACGAAAGGCGCGACTCGCTTGCAGCTTTGGACGACGCAAATGCGCTTCGCGCGTCCCAGGGCGGACGCGACGCGGCAGCTAGCAAGTGGTGGTGCGGTTGGTGTCCATGACCTATAGCACCGTGTTAGACGCCTCTGCTGCAAGGAAGGCCGCAACTTGCACGACAATGGATCACAGAACAGTCATTAGAATGATGAATAGACAACATACGCCTTCAACAGGATATACCTGGTATGAAGCCAGTGCATATCCACCATATCGGCCCAGCTGCCGCTCAAGCGTTTAAGCCCGTCGGCGAAGCGCTAAGCGACTCCATCCTCCATCGTCGCTGCGCGCGGGATTGCCCTATGATGCATAGATACGCTACATAGAAGGAATACAAGTGATAAGAAAATATATCTGTGTGTGTATATGACGCATGGAACAAAGGAAAAGAATTACGACAGTGCCGGACGAGTACTACAACGCGGGAAGAGTAAGCACGAAAGCGCGCGAAAATGAAGCGGGCCCAATGAGCGAGCCGAATGCTTGCGTACGAAGTGCTTGCGTGTGGCAAGCGCTTGCTCCGAAACCAAAACATAGCTGTAAGACTGCTACACGCATAACTTCTTCATTACATACATCTTCATATGTGTAACGCGGCACGATTGAGGTTGTATTTTTTACATAAACTCGGGTTCTTACGCCTTTGGCGTTCCAGAAAGCAGTGGTGGTTCGAATACAGCTAATAAAGTTCCGAACCAATCTGTTTTACAAGGTGGCAACAATGTCACTGGCGCCGCCGGTTTAAGGGGCGCCGCGCTACTTAGCACAGCGTTTTCTGGACCCGTATCGAGTTACGAAAATCATGCCGCAGTTGAGACCAACGGAATTCGGCACACACAACTTCATCAGTTGCCAGCCGCGGCTACCCAGCCTACGGCCCGGCAAGCATCGGGGCCGTTCACAAGCCTCTCGGTCAAACCCGCTAATGCCGGACGAAACCACCAATTATTGGAATTTCGGAGTCAATGCTAATCAGCCAGCGTCTCAGCATTTTGCCCGCCATGCGACCACCTGGCCCTGCCACCTTGAGCGTCAAATTGGTCCGTCAAATTTTGATGGACCCATGTCTGGTGGAAGGGAAGAACGGGCAAAAAGGAACAGGAGGACGGAGAGGGGCGAGAATTACCAGAGTCCGCCGCTGCTGGCGCCACCCCTTTGCTTCAACTCCCCTTACCGTGCGCATTGATCCTGCTCTCGGCGCCCCTGAGGATCATTGGGGCAAAGCTCAACCAGCGTTCCGGCGTGCACCGACGTGGATGAAAAAGATGCAAGAAGAACGCTGCAGATGAAGCCTTGTGCTGGGGTGTACTATGCCGTGACGATATTCTGCAATCTCAATGTCAGAGAATATTGAGATTGCAGATATTTAGATGTAGCACCTACTTGTACAAGGGTAGCCACCGACTGAGATGGTAAAGACAAGACGTTGAGGCAAGGAGAACGGCACTTCTTTACCGATATTAACGCCCTGACCGTAATTCGCCTCAATGCTTGAAACCGGCATAACCTCTTGACGCATATTATCCGAATCGTCCAGTAGCCAGCTGCAAGCCATTCCTGCTGGCGTTCGAGATGGCCATCGGGAATATTGGTCATGGGAGCGGTGTGATACTGGTAGGTTACAAAAGTGGATGCTATAAAAGGAAGTTGAGCAGGAACAATTGCAAAGGCAACATCAGCGATAGCTTGCATACAGGATGTTCGTGAAGGAACTTACTTTCAGCATTCTTGTTAAGGTCTGCATGGGGTGGACCCCATTATTGTCATAGGAAAGGCCGGCGGAGATGCGCGCCAAGACAAGGCTGTTGAGGCTGATGGCCTTCAGGATATGTTGTGCTTGCCATGGCGCACACAGGTAGCCAAGGCGCCTAAAAGAAGCCCTAGGATAAGGCTTTAATGAAAAGGGATGTATGAGTTAACCAGGGTCAATTTATACCGACGCAGAGGCGGCCGGGCGGGAATTGTGTATACCGCCAAAGCGCTTGTCGTAGCGTGTCGTATGGGCGTACTGCCCCAACTTGCGACTCTTGCGTGCGTATGTGTAACTAGCCTGTTGGATAGCCGCTGGAATGATCAGGTGTCGGGCGATCAAGCGTCGTACAACCTCATCCCAGCCGCCCACGGGCTTTGGCGCTGCCAGCGATGCAATATCTAGTCCGTGGCTACTTCTCTATACGTTTGCAACATGTTGTGACCATGCGCTAGGCTGGCGACGGAAGTGCGACATAGATTGGCGATGTTGCTCATGTTCCCGATCACGATGTCCAGTAAAATCCACACCTTCCACTGGAATGCGTGCAATATATGTCTGGACATCAGCAACATCGCAATCAATGTCGCACGCGCCTTGTACGCGTACTCGCAGCACATGACAGCATGACGTGCTCAGCATGATGTGTTGGCCAGCTTAACCAGGCGGCTACACCACAACCGGCTCAAGGGCTAAGTTTGGGATATCCTTAAATTCCCCCCGCTACCCGCCTGCACTCCCCTAACCCTCCCAAGAGTAGTAATTATTAAAGATTAACTAAAGAAAAAATGTAATATTTCACCCATCCAGGTGCCTCACCATCTTCCGGCTCACCAATAACCCTAGCCATCCAGTGTCATCCACCCCCCTCCCCCTCCCCCTCCCCACCAATGAATATTGACCTCGAAGTGCGGTGGTGCCGTCCATGTGACCAGACCAGGAGGCGCCAAATCATAATCCGGCTCACCAATAACCATAGCCATCCAACGTCCACCATACCCCTCCCCCCACCGCCCAATCCGTCAGTTTTCCTTATTTTTACACTCCCCCGCCCAATCCGCGCTGTGCGTGAAAGGCCGTGCAGGCCAGCCCCCCACCCCCTAACCGTAGGTGGCAGCACGATTACGTGACGCGTTCTAGGGTATACAAGAAGCTCGGGAGGGCGAAAGGAAAGAGAGGCACCTTCCCCTGCCACAGCCATGATGAGGACCCCTGTATGTACACCCAAACCCGGTACCCTTCCTTGGCGTTCATGTTACCCGTCCAAGTGCCTCACCTCCGGCTCACCAATAACCATAGCCGTCCAGTGTCCCCCATCCCCCTCCTCGAGAGGCCGTGCAAGCCCCGAGGCCTCCCTTGCCCCCGAAACGGTACCCTTCCGTTCCTCAGTCCCCCAGCAAGCCGTTACTTGGTCCCCATGCCGTAGGCTAGCAAACCTGACAAGCAAGGCGTGCGCAAGCGCCCCTCTTCTTTTCCGATCGTCACCATCGACTGCCATGTACTATGCGCCTTCACGTTTGCTTCATACCATACCATACCATGATGGCTGCAAGGGCCCGTGTTTTTGTACTTGCTACACAATACACCTCAAGTTGCCTAAGACACATAACGGGCCAAGGGCTAAGTTTTTGCTGAATAGAGATAACAAATATCTATTAGAAGCAATTAAAAGTTTAGTCTGGTTTATATGTTTTGCTGTTCCTGGCACACGGACGGACTGACGGACAGGGGCAATCCTGGGGGGCAGAACCCCCCCGAAGCCGCTTCGCGGCGGGGGCTCCGCCCCAAAAGGAAGGAACATCAGGCGAAGGAAGGAACCGCGTATCCAAAGACCAGACCGAAGCGTGGGCGTCCAGGTGGGCTCGGCGCCATCACCATCGATGTCATCAACCTCTTCGTGCACATCCTGCGCATACTCTGCAGCCGAGGCTAGGGTGCGACTGCACATTGAGGTTGCATGACCTGTTCGCTGTATTATTGAATGGTCCGAGTAGCGATGATGTGGGTATGCACGGAGGAGTGGTGCTCTCGGGGAAACCAGTGGTATCCTGCCCTGCTCAGTACTTTACATATTTGTGTCAACCTCTTCGTGCATATTTCTCAGTCCTAATCACCACCGGGGAGCATCAGGATTCCGAACTGTCATACCACATGACCCAGACCCACAAATCACATGACCCACCCTAGTCCCACTCAAATCCCTCCGATGTACCGTATCAGTCCATGAATATAAAAGGCCGGCTTAAAAGGGCGGCGGCGGTGGTGGCATCTGGCCTCCGGGAGGTGGCGGGATAGAGACCGGGGGCGGGGGCGGTGGAGGCGGCAGCCTGTGGGGCGGAGGTATCCCCTGCGGGAGGCACGTAACACGGGAAGGTGGTTTTATTGGAATGTGGGCATAGCAATTGTGTGACCGCGGCGCCAGCAACCCCGTTTGATGTTTGGCTCCCCTTGCTAGGCGCGTAGTCTGAGCACTCGGACACAGCAGCCGGATTAAGACTTCAGGTACATCTGTACCGTGAACAAGTCTGTCTTTTTGCACACCTGTGTACCATATGTACCTGGAGCAACGGTTGCAGAATAGCTGAAAGCTAAGGGGGAGTTTACATTATGGCGGATATTCACTAAGCAGAGAGATAGAAAGTCATATAAGATAGGCTAAAGATAGAAAGTAAAAGTCAAAATCATGTCACTCAAGGCGAACTCATGCTTCAAGCGCATTTTCACAGGACTCCAAACACGTTTCTCTAGTTCCCTGAAAACAGAAAATCCAAGCAAAAAGCCAAATTGTAGCTAGAAGTGGCGTCACTCTTGGGAATCACCATCGTAGTTGGTTGTACGGCAGAGGTGGGTCAACTACGATAGCCCAAATGGTATCGCCTGATTCGAAACGAACAACGAATAAGAAAACAACGTTTAGAGAAAGAATTGATGCATGGGTCGCGAAGGGCAGTGGCGGCTAGTTGTGTGCATCGCATGTGCCGCCAACTGTGTCACTGACCACCTGCTGCAAGCTTACCCCGCGGAATAGCTGACGGGGCAGTGCACAGCTAGCAGGGAGGGGTTCCATGCAGTTCTATAGCGCGATACGATGGTCACATGGCTGGGGGTCGTATTGCGACACTTAAAGCAGCAGCGGCTGTGAAGGGAGACGCTTCACGGATTTGGGGGAAGGTGCTTCCGCTCGGTCCCGACGCGGGGGTTGCAGCAGCAGCAGAGGCGGGGATGCAGTGCAATGAAGCGGATGCGGGACGTGGCGCCGGGGGTAGTGGTCGAGGGCATGGCGCGACAGGGGGAAGAGGAGGCAGGGGCCGGGGTCGGGGACGTGGCGGTGCCGCCGTGTCAATTGGTGAAGACATAAGGTGGCGGTGGTAGGGGACGTGGACAGCGCAAAAGATAGGGCCGCGGTGCTTCCTAGCCGCCCAATACAAGTTTGGATTCCCCAAAATAGGCCAATAACATGGTTATACTGGCAGGACCCCAGTTTTTTTTCCGATGTGGACTGTTACAGAGGAAGGACAGGAAGACCACCAAGAAAAACCAGCGGAGAAAAAAACCCACTGGATACCAGGGAAGCACCCCTGGAAAACACCACCTGCAAGCCCACCTGACAGAGGAGAAAGGAACTGCAACAGACAACACACCAGACAGGACAAGGACAAGGACGGGTGACCTGCCTAAGAGATCAAAACCTCACTCTGACCACCTGGACAGGCGAGGGGCAACACCACCACCACCGAAGGCTGAAAACCAACCAAACAGCCTCCCTCCACAGGAACGACAACGAAAGGAAAACCACAAAACCACAACAAATCACAACACTCCAACAGAAAAAACCAACAAACAAAACAGTTAACAGAAAAAAAGACACATTCTCTGCCCGTATTCCCAGGGGGTTCTGGGTATTTATTTTGCATGTTATGGATCTTACGTAGAGGAGCCTAACGGTTCTTTTGCCGGGCGTTTTGGCGAAGTTTTTAGAAGTTGTACGACATGCTTGCCGTACGACAGGGGTGGGTGGGTGGACCCGGCCTACACTACCAAAAGATATCGTGGGGTTATATGTTAATTTCTTACCCCCCCTGGTACAACCCCAAACAAAACTCTGAAAGCAGAATCGGAATCCACACGCCTAGAATTCGGGAAGGGTCGCAAGGACCATAAAATGTGAAAATGTTATTTCAAGAAAGTAGTCATTAGTACGACTTAGATCAGCCCGATTAGAACGCATTTGGATATCCTAGCCGGAGCATGGCAGAAAGCATGAAAGCACACACGCATCAGGCACAACGACCATTTACTAGGTGCTTAACGACAACACACTCAGTATGGAAAACACGGGGCAATGTCGATGCTCTTTGGGATTAAAACAGGCGAGCCTCCCTGTCTGCGGAGCTGACGGGTTTCAGGAGCGGACCCCTCCCGTCCAGTTCTGCACAACATATATGGCTAGGGTTGGTCAAGAACCTTAGAAGAAAAGTTTTGAAACTACGGATCCTAAGGTTTCGAATAACCTTTGATTAGGATTCTAAGAACCTTCGAATTAGGATTAGATAGGCACAGCTAACTTTTAACTGGTGAGGTAATTTCATTTGGAAATTTGTCAAAAGCACGGCTCTAGCATATTCAGGCGCTACCTACAATTATTTTCCCAACAGGGCGCCTGGGATGTCCTCAACGGAAAAATCCACCCCATGTCCAGCAGCAGTTCACGGCCCATATTTGCCGCCAATTGAGCAAAAAGGTATACATAGCACGTTCTCAGCAGTAAAAGCAAAATGAACACAAGATGGCGCTTCTACCCCAAGATTGACTGAGCCATAGCACCAAGCCATCCGTCGCGAGTGGTCGATTGACGATGATTGACAAAGTTTGACCGGCATTGACTGGCCCTTTGGCTTGGCTGGGGGTCATAGATGCTTTGCAAAGTGGCTTGGGGTATTTATAGTAGGGAACTCGGAGCTAAATCTCAACGTGTACGCAACATTTACCACTTCCGGGATCAGTACCTTAACCTCGGGCGTTAGAGCCCTTAGAAGTCTAAGGTGCCGTACGGTTTCCGAGGATTAGACTTAGAAAACAAGCCCTTTTGTTTCCTGCACGGAGGTACAGTTGACCTCTGGCCGTCGCGCTATGATCTTGTTATTCAGTAGATTGAAACGTTAAGGTCACATGGTTCCTGCTGTTGCAGCGAAGTGTTTTGACACACAAGTTCGTTCCATTCTGTCGTACGGCGTGCAAGTGTGGGGTCGTGATATGGTGCTGAAGCTGATGACAGACTGCGAAAACACTGATAGGTATTTTGACAGATCTTTGGGAGACCCCATGGTTCGGCCACAAAAGGAGTTTTTGCGGGAGGTTGCAGGTGTAAAAGTGTCGCCAGATAAGCTGCAGTATAAGGAGCTTAAGCAACGGCCTCTGCATGGTTTTTGGACGGAATTCATTTTACGGTTTGGGAATGACATCGTTAAGCAAAATGACACGGTTTACCAACAAGCGCTACGGGGGCAGATACGGTTGGCTCTCAACACTGCCCTCGATCATGATGGCTGAGGATCCAAGGTATTGATGCTGTTGAGGCTTCTATGGGCTGACATTACTACAGGGGAGGGGGAGATGAACTTAGATGCGCGTATGGATCGGATTGCAGGCACGGAGCTGCCCATAGCCGCTCTTTTGCAAGAATTTACTGATAGGATGGATGCGGATTGGGATAGCAGGTTGGAGGTTGACCCGCGGCTCTATAACTCGGATGATTCTGCACCTGATATTGGAGTCAAGATGTGTCGGTACAAACACTGGATGGGTGGCCCGGTTGACAGGGGGTATATCGCCCAACGGCAGCACGTGAACCTTATGCGTTTTCGTTTATGTGTGTGGGGTAATGAAGTTAACCGCCCAGGAGGAAGACATTATGCTGGTCGCCTTTGACCTATATGTGCTGAGCAAGGGATGCCAGGTACGTGGAAGATGAGAAGCACATTTTGCTTGAGTGCCCTGCGTACGACAATCTGGGGGAAACGTTATGGGATTGTGGTATTTCTCGGGAAGCTGATATGGTCACTGTCATGTGCATGGAAGACCAGGCGCTGCTTGCTAGTGTGGTCACTAGCATGCGAAGCCGGAGGATTGCACAGACAGGACATATTATCTGAGGTTATTGCTTTTGCTTACTTTGTTCTTTTCGCCTTAATAGATGTAGCTTTAGAACTTATACTTCCTCTTGACTTTTTGTTTTGCGTGTTTGTGCTCGCGATCCATGAGCCTTCTGGCTCGGACGGATCTTACGAGCTCTGTACGAAGCTTGTAACACATACATACATACCAAGGGCCTTAGGTGGGTTAGGTCCGGTCGTTTTATGACAGTCTTCTTACGTCCTACTCAATCTCAGCACCAGTACTGGACTTATTTATCTACATAAGCTACCATATTCCTCGGCTCCTGCGGCGGTTCTGTGAGGACTTCATCTTCCGACAATCACAGTACGTTCCTACTCGCGGCCAGTTTTCTTAACATACATACATATACATGCCTTCCAAGTCCTAGCTTAGAATCTAATGCTTCCTGAAAAATTTAAATTTCTAAGTCTCATGGTCCGGGCAACCCTATTTATGGCCCAGCTTACCATGCTGACCCCCATTGGCGGCGGCGGGGCCCCCTGTGGCGGCAGCATGGGCTGCGGCGGGATGACACCGGGAGGCGGCAGCGGTGGCGGCAGGATGGCCAGCGGCGGAGATGCCATCACCCCTAGAGGTAGCTGGCCTTGATCTGCGAGAAGAGCCAGCAGGGCGTAATGTTGGACCCAACAGAATCGGGGCAATCATAAGCTGCCCAGTTGCTATGCACCCGTACCACTTAAAGACATGCTACCGTCTGTACCTGGCCGCGCCCTAGCAAGGTTTCACATGAAGCGGAATGCTGCTGTAAGTCCCACCTCACAACCAAGGGACGCCTACGTTGCATCCTCTAGTGAACCCAACCCCGCTTCTCTCGCCCACCTCTCGGCCTGGCAAAATAAAACTGCAACGAGAAGACCTTGTTGTCAGGGTCCCAGTGCGTGAACATCTTGCCCTCGCTGCGGTCCACCTCGTGGTTGGGGATTTTAAACGAAATGTTCTCGTACGGCTCCGCGGCGAATATAAGGTACTGGAAGGCCTTGTCCGCCGTCTCCACGCGCTGCTCGTAGGCGGACATGAAGCGGTGGCGAGGTTTGGTGCCCTCCTCGATCTCGGGGTATTCAATCTGGCTCCGTCGACAGCATAGGTGGAGAGAAGCAGCAGCCAGATGATTGGGTTTCGAGAGGACAGCAAGGAAAACAAGCGAAGAAGGCGAGGTTGGGACCCCCCCTCCCGATATACCCGGTACAAAGGGAGCGGAAGGGATGTGAACCTCAGCCCCATGGACAAGGAACCCAGCCCGATGGACAAGGAACCCAAAAACGTGGGTGCGCATCTGGTACAGCGCCCTCAACTTCGCACCAAGGCAGCCGCGCTGAACTTTACGTCCCACCTCGTTCACATGTGGCAAGAGATCCCTTCGAAGGCCATAAATCCCAAGAGCGTGCGCCCGTTGCACACCACTAGCCTTCTGGCCCCGTTGCTTTTACGGCGGCCTCCATAACTGCGCGTGCCATCCTCCCCTCAGGCGTCACCCAGTGGCGCAGGGGACCCTACCGACCCCACACCCTCACCTGGAAGAGCAGGGAGCGCTGCTGCGAGTTGGTATCGAACTGCTTTGTCACCCGGTAGCCCGGCCGCCCGATTTTAACTGGGGGCAGGGGAGGATGCAAGACGTGGCAGGGAAAATCGGTCACGCTATTGCGATTGCTTGGACGTATCTCTGAATGTTTGATCCGTGCTATCTGGTCTCCACTGCCAGACAAGTCCACTGACGCTAGGCACTGGAGCCAGATAAACCTGTAGATAGTGCTTCTCATGGGATCAGAGTCAGCACGGTCTGCCTGATGCCGCCGCCCCAGCCCAACTTGAAAACTTAATAGCACCGTACGGTGGCTTGCTCTGGGCTGCTCCGACGAGACTGACTCCCAAGTGGACATACGGTCTGGCAAATGTAACGTTCCAAGAGCGGCCGGCCACCAAGACATGCGGCCCTTCTTCTTTATGCCTAGCATCAGGCAGCCTCTTGGCCATACCGTCAGCATGATCGGGTCAACACGTTTCGGCATTCCTTTTACTCAGCAACCCTTAGGAGACACCAGCCCACTGCTTTCCTCGGAAGAGCTCCTCGGAAGACCGCACAAGCAGAAGCAGACCTCCCTCCGCTTAGCTTCAGACCCTCCAATGGGGGTTACGCACCTGTTTTCCGGACTGGAGCTCGCTTCTGTGGTGCCGGGGCTGCTGCCTTCTCTGCCGCCTCACGTGCCGCACGTTTAGCAAGGTTCTGCTGGTGGCGTTTACCCTACATGCGCCAACCATCATCACTGTAGAGTGCAGCGTTATGCTGCGCCAGTAGAACGATACACATCACCTACTTGTGTATGCGCTAGGTAATTGCCTTCATTTGTGTGTAGCGTCAAGCAAAGGCGGCACTCGTATTGTCCCAAATGATTGCGCATAAAATAGGGATCCTTGCTGAGGTCAATTGTCTCCAGAGCCAAGCGCCGCAGGCGCTCACGACGGTCGACAGCCTGCCATTAAAACGCAAAGTATGCTGCGGTGCCCGGAGGCTACATGCTAGAAGCTTGCTGAAAACGGGACCTTCCAGAAAAAGGGCACACCTCATTCTGAGCCGAGGCAGGGCCACCGGATCCGGGCTTGGCGCCATGCTCCCGAGCTGCTATAAAAGACATGCTGTCCAAAAACTAGTTTCTTATACCGGCGCGAAGGCCTTGCCTATTAAGTAATAAACAAGAGCCCTCAATTAGCTAGCAGACGGCACATGGAAGATATCGGGAAACTGCTATATTCCTCAGGCGCCTGAATTGTCAATGATAGAAACGTGCTATCGAATGGGGATTACATCGTTATCCAGCAAGGAACCACATCCCCGGTACGCGCGGACCGGCGCCGTACTGCTCGTCCTCCGGTCCGGGACCGCCGCAACGTCCTCGCTCCCATTCTGTTTCCCCCTGGAGTTAAGCCACCAAGCCTCCAGCCACTCAGCACCGCTTTCTGACTTGTAATGTCACGGTAATTCCTTAAAACAAACATACAGCTCCTGTGATATGTTTTACAGGCTTCTGAGGAGCGAAAACGTCGGTGCCCTTGGGTGCTACACTTTTTTGCTACCCGTAGAACTGCAAAAGGAAAGGAATTAAGGCAAACAAATCCACGTGCTCACGTGAACAATAGAAATTTCCGTAAAGTCGATCTACTTTGACGGCATCACCGCCTGCGGCGCAAGAGCATCGGTTGGGTTCAAATCTGTGAATTTACTCGTTTTCTGGTTAGCGCGTTTCATGGCATTCCATGTTTTTTGTTATAGCGGCCTGCCATTCTTCCGGCGCCGTGTGTTTGGCGGTCGTCGCTACAATTCATAGTTTTGTTGGAATCTTCTTTTCAGCAGGTTGTGTTTATTTTTAGCAGTCGTGACACGCGGCTACTTTACAGGCATTCGTGCGAATGTCAGGCTCTCCAGTTGGCCATGACGCGGATAGAGCATCTGTTGGCGTTGTTGATGTCCTCCATGAAGGTGTTGCTCGTCCTGTTGTGGGATATGGGACAGGTGGCGGCTCACGCGAGGAGGCGGATGAATTTGCAAGGACATATGGTGTTGCTCGTTCAGCAGTTCCTGGCAACGACAAAGCAGAAGTTTTTCCGCTTACAGAGTGGAGCCTTACGCTTCCGCAGCGTTTTGCGGATGTGCCTGTATCGTGGGTCAACATTGTTGGAGCTTGGATTGACGCCCATTGCACGGCGGGCTTTGTGGCTTACGAACGTGGTTTGCGCAACGAGGTTGGGCATTTGCAGGGATGCTTTCGGGATGCTTGCGTGAGGCGTCTGCCTGCCCTTGCCCTTCCCCGTGCAATGCGTGCCTGGATCGTCAGAAGGTGATAAGAAATGCGCGCAGTGCCTGTCTCGCGGCGTAAGTTCTTCCCAGTGCAGGATGCCCGTCCCCGCGCTGTAGCTACCTGGTCTCCCCATGCCCTCCCCATGCGACTGTCCTTACCTGCGCGGCCCGCGCTTGTGCCCCTGTCCTTATCCGGCGGTGGCTGCCTCCCAATGTTCTAACCCATAGAGCTGACCTTCCCCGTGTGCTTCCCGAACTCGCTGGCCTCATGTGGCCCGCCGTGGGGCCTCGGTGCCCTTCCATGTGCAGTGCCTGCCCCAAAATGCTCTCGGCTGTCCTTACCCCCGAGGCCCTGGTTTCTTGTGCCCTTATCGGTGCAGCACCCTTGCGGGCCTCCTGCGGGCCTGCGTGTGGCCTTCCTGCCCTTCCAGTGAAGTTCCTACCTCCAATGCCTTCACTTCTGTACGCACATGTGCCAGCTGGTGAGCAGGGCGGGGCCGCTGGTCGCATGGCCGAGTGTAACTGAGTAGGGCGGGGATTTCGGCACGAACGCATTGGTTTCGGTACCTGGGCAGGGCAGGGATGCATGTGTACATCACCGCGGTAAACGGGCACAATGGGTCTGCGTACCCGCATGACAGCTGATGCGCGGGTGGGTGCGACGGAAATGGATGGGAGAAGGGTGATGCTTGCACGCATGGGTGCCTGTTCCTGGCAGGACGACTGGAGGTCTACACGCATAAGCACCGATAGCCGAGAGGGGCGGGGTTGCATGCGCATGTGGGTGCCAGTAGCTAGCAGGGCAGGTATGCCTGCCTGCATGGGCGGCGTTTGTCCAACAAGGCGATGGCCGCACGCGCGGGGAGCCATTATGTTGGTATTGCTTCGCCTGTCCAGCCTAAGGGCAGCGCTCCTCCTCACCAGCCTCTGCACCATCGTTTCCCTGTTGAAGAGGATGGATGTGCAACGCTGCGCTGGGCCCGCCGGCTCCTGCCCCCCAACAGCCGCGCCCTCAGCCGCTTCCCATGCCCTCCACCTGGCGGTGTGTTCCTCGAGTTACCGGTACTGGCGGGTATGCATGCATGTACCAATGCCGGTTTATGCGCCGGGTGGGTTGTGCCGGGTCGGTATGCACTCACGCAACAGCGTTGATGCTTGGGTGGGTTCGACGGACTAACCCACAGGTGCCAGTACCGGTACTTCAGCAGTGCACGGCACGGCATGCGCACATAAGCATGAGCACCGGTACTCGGGCGGGTAGGAAGGGTTTTGCACTCCACCACCTGCGTGCCTTCAACGCTGCGTTTTTCTTTGGCTTCCCTCAAGCTGTTTTGCTTCCTACCCGTTTACATATGCTAGCAGCCTTGGCAACAATCGCTGCCATTCCTTTTGTGCTTAAGCATCTTTCTGCATCCTCACGCCCTACATGCATGCGTGCAACCGCATTTCCTCGACATCACCTCCCGCGAGCTACGGGCATCTCCCGCCGAAGGCGGCCCTTACTAGTTGATGGGCCCGCAAAACCCAACGACACGCGCGACACCCCAAGTCCCCTTTAGGGTCACTGGACGTTATGCTGGAAGACATAGCTTCTTGCCTGACAACAGACTAGAATTTAACGATCACAAGGGCAGCTGGCTAGGGACAGCCCAGCGCAAAGGGTCATCGTCACCACACGTTCCATCGTGTCTGCATAACACGTTATAGCTTTCTGGATATGGCCCTAATGTATGGCTGTATGTATAAACGTTGTGCAGCAGCGGAAACGAGTCTGCTCTTCAATCCACGGACAGTCAGGACGAACTTTGGTCTATGCATAGAAGTGCCAAATGAATAGAAGTAAGCAATAACAAAGCAGCTTGGCCCATGTGGTACACGTGCGCTCGAAAATGCCCGTACTGGACAAGCCTCTTAGACGGCATCTTACGATTACGATTACATGGTACGGTGTAGGGCCCTCCCGCCCTACCGCACAACCTCACGAACCATTCCGGTCAAGAGGTGCAATGACAAATAGAAGTTCGCGGGGAGACAAAACTGTTTGGGTAGGTGGTCACCTTATCAAGCGCGACTAGACCTACACGCATAAATAGCATGTAGAAGGCTCGCCAATTTAGCAACATCAAAGTTCCACATAATATTAGCCATATCTGCATCAGTGGGGTTCGGCACCTCAGGAAACCCAACAGCCGTTCTCAAAGGCGCGTAACAAGCGCATTCCATCAGGACATGGAACTCATCCTCCACGACATGCGTATCACATAATTGGCACAGACGCTGTTCTCTAGCTACGCGCTGCGCCCCGTTACCAGGGCGATTCACCGCAATGTCCCAACAGCCAATGCGAAAACGCATAAGGGAAGACAAGTGATGCCTAGGAATATACGTCTTGGCATATGGGGGCCAGCTCATCATGGTGAAAGGGGATCCCATCCAATGCTTGTAACGACACATCTTCACTCCGGGTTGCCCACCATCCGACACAAAGGATCGGGGGGCCACCACAAGCCGCTCGCTTCCCCAGCTAGCCAAAAACCGATTCCGCAAAGCAGCCAGCAACTGCTGCACAGGCAGCTCGCGATTTGCTAACCAGGGGGCTATCACTTGCGGGGTACCAGTACCTGGCTGCCCTTCCCTCCAGTCATACCCTAATTTCCCGCACACCTTAAGCACTTGCGCCACCCAGCACGAACCCATGAAGCCACCAGCAGCCGCTAGGGCAACGTTATCCCGAAAAGCCGCATTAGCTAGAGTGCCCTCCGCCTTGACAAGCTTATTCCAGAAGTTAAACACACACTTCGCCCAGAAGTATTGCATTGGCAGTTGCGAGTATTCCGCAAACAGGATTTGATTGGCCGGTAACTTACTACAGGATACGCGCCGCAAGAAGTCCTTCTGGAGCTCCACCGCAGGGTCACACAGTGCCCTTTCAAAGAGGGTGGCACGGGCACCTGGTCGCCGCTGCCTACGTCTCCACTCGGCGTTGCCAGCACTCTGTGCGCCTGCTCTAGGGACACCATCAAACATCTCAATGAGGGCACTGGGGCCCCACACCTCGACACCGTACGACAGCTTGGAGCGCACTTGCACGTCAAAACTCCTTACCATTATATCAGGTGCAAAAAACCGCCCCGCGCGCAGCTTATCTAGTAACCCAAACATGCATTTCCGCCCGCTGTCATACAACTCTCGCCTGCACGAATCAAAGGGTGTATCGGGACCATAGCTAATCCCAAGATACCTCGCCCTGCTCTTAACCGGGACCGGCTGCCCCCCCAACCGCAGACTGATGCTTGCTAGGACGGTTTGAGCAACTCTAGTTGCTGGGTTCGGCGAAAAAATTAGCAACTCCGACTTATCCGTATTCACACGCATACCAAAGGCACGACAAACTTCCTCAAGCCTCGTAAGAAGGTATGCCATGCGCCGTACAGAGGTTGCTAACAGAGTCAAATCATCAGCAAAAAGCAGGTTGGGCGAACGTTGGCCATTCAGCGTGGGGCATTCGCCGACAAAGGCGAGGTGCGGGAAACAACGATCAACAGCGTCAATGTAGTCGGCAAGGACCTCAATGTAAAAGCCAAAGAGGTCAGTGCTCAGCGGGCAACCCTGCTTCACACCTTGACTAGCCTCGAACTTCTCTCCGCGCTGACCATTAAGCTTGACACGCAGGCTCACACGCTCGTATGCCCGTTTGAGCGCGGCGAGCATCTCCCCTCGTATACCCCTCTCCTCCAATCTGTGCCACAGAAGCTCCCTCGGGACCCGATCAAACGCTTTCTCAAAATCAATCTGACAGACAAACAAGGGCGCGGTCTGCCCCGCACGCATATAGCTGTCAACAAAATGCCTAACTGAAAAAAGGTGATGCGTGGTGCCGTAACCTCGCCTTGAGCCTGCTTGGCTCGGGTGCCGTACAGGTCTGGGAAGCCGGGGGTCGACACCAAAACGGGCTAAGCGCCTATCAAGGATGGAAGCATAGCACTTCGCCAGGGCACCTCCAAC